ACAATAGCTCTCAGGCCTGCCCTGTCCTGAGCCAATCTGTCTCACACCCTAGTTTCTATATCAATCCCTTTCATCCACGGTCTTCGTCTCCTGCACTGTCCCTCCACCCTTCCAAGCATAGTGTCCTTGTCGAAGGATCGGTCCCTCCTGGCCACATACCCAAAATATGTGAGATAGAGCTTCAAAATCCTAGCCTCCAAAGAGAAACTTGATTTCACTCTTTCCAAGACAGACCTATTTTTTTCCTTGGAGGTCCGTAGTATGTTCAAAACACTTCTCCAGCACAACAACTCATTATTAGTCATTATCCAGCTCTCTGATGCATAGCAAATAATTGTGAAGACCATGGACTGGATCAGGTGCAACTTAATCTCTATACTGACATTGTTGCTTCTCAGTCCCCTGGAGCAGTCCCTGATGGCAGATATACCTAATGTGATTCGTCTTTTGATTTCCTGACTTCTGATGCCAAGATTGTGGAGCGAGCAAGCTGTAACGGTTAACAACTTCAGTCTCTTCTTCATCCATCATGGTGCTACCAGTTGGCCCAGTGGTGATTGTGAAAAATGGGAATTCTAGAACATTTAAATGTGCTCAGGCAGAACCTGTACATAGACTAAAAGATAGTTGTTTGAATAGAACAACAGGACACTGCATGGTTTAAAATCAGGAAAAATATGTGTCAGCTTGTATGGTTTCTTCATACCTTTTCAGTCTGTATACTGAGCAAATAATGGAAATAGCTGGGTTATATAAAGAATAGGGCATCCAGATAGGAGGAAGATGCATCGAGAGCCTGTGTTAGGAAGATGACACAACTTTGCAGAAGCACTTATTGGTGAAGCCTTTAATGAGGATTATACCTCAACCTAATGAAAACAAAAGTAAATAGCCTCATATTTAGGCCATAAACATCATCATAATAAATGGAGAAAAGATTAAAGTTGTCAATGATTTCCTCTTAAATGATACTCCATCAACACCTATTGAAACAATAATCATGTGACTTGCTGCATTGAGCAAAGCTGCTGTCAGGACGTTTTAAAGGGTCAGAGAGCAAGGTTGCTACATTAAAGAGTAAGGTGCGCACAACACATGTCATGGTATCTTCACAGACTTGGTATGCGTGTGAAAGTAAGACAGTAAGGAAGACTGAAGAAGTTAAACCTTTGAGTTGTGGTATTTGTAAGTTAACATGGACTTCCAAAACCACAAATATCTGTCTTGGAAGAAGTACATTCATGGTGCTCTTTAGAAGCAGAGGTGATGAAACTTTGTCTCACATGCTTTGGGCATGTGATCGGGAGGGGCTGGTCCCCGGGAAAGGGTGTCATGCTTGATAGTGAAAAAGTGGAAGACCTTCAATGAGGAGGATTGACACAGATCAGGCAGGATTTCATTCTGTTGTATGTGAGGAATCGCTGTAAGTTGGAGTCGTTTCAATAGCACTTGACAAAAACAAAAAATACTTTCTCCTGTTATAGTCACACCCTACATTCCTCTCTCCCAGGCTCTGGCAAACACCAATCTGTTTTGTGTCAGTATAGATGTACTTATTCTGGATACACAGTATAAATGGAATCACAGAAGATGGGACTTTTGTGACTGGCTTCTTTCATGTAATGTTTTCAGGATCCATATTTTAGCATGTGTCCGTGCATTGTGACACTGATGTGTCAAATGCGATAATAGTTGCTCAAGGTTGACAGTGTTTGGTGGAGCTCCCCAATTAAAACAGGCTTGGACTCCTGAAAAAAAAAATATAATAAAACAGGCTTGGAAGCAGGAGTGGCATCCACTTCCGAAATAGCTTGCTTCCAGAAACCCTATGAACTTGGAGAAACAATGAAAGTTATACAAGTGTTTAGGTCTTTCATTCATAGGATCGCTATGAGTCATCTATGACTCAATGGCACTTAACAGCAACAACAACAACATAGGGAGTGCTCTATTGGCCTGGTGGATAGAAAGTTATGCTACCAAGCCAAAGGTGGGTGATTTTAATCTGCGGCCCTCAGGCCTGTTTTTAATTGTTTTTGGTCAAACATTCTTCTAAATGGTATAGCACTGGTCTGTCCATTTACAATACAGAGGTAACTCGTGGTTGCTGTGATGGTGAACACTGTTACACTGATATGTCAAATGTGGTAATGGTTACCCATGGTGGACAGTGTTTACTGGAGCTCCCAGATTAAAACAGGCTTGGAAGCAGGAGTGGCATCCACTTCTGAAATAACTTGCCTCTGGAAATGCTTATAAACTTGGAGAAACAATGAAAGTTAAGGTCTTTGGTTCATAGGATCGCTATGAATCGTCTATGACGACGGCACTTAACAACAACACCTGTGTGTTATCCCTTTTCTATTGTTAAATAAATTTTTAAAAAATTGTGTTTATTTATTCATCAATTTGATTGACATTTGGCTTGTTTCCACCCTGGGGCTTGTATGAATATTGCTGCTATAATCATTCATGCTTTGTTAATTATTTTGTTTTGCATGAACGTGTTTTCATTTCTTTTGGGTGTTTACTTAGGATTGAAATTGCTGATCACAGTGATGTACTAACCTTTATGAGGAACTGTCAAACTGTTTGTCAAAACAGTGACCACTTTCCATCTCCATCAGCAGTGGGCAAGGGTTCTAAATTTCTCCACATCTTTGCTAAGCTGTGCTATTCTCTGTATTTTTTTTATTTTGTATTTTTGCTATTCTCTGTATTTTGTATTGTAGCCATAACCATCTTTGTGCACATGAAGTAGTTTTGATTCAAATATCCCTCATAACTAATGACATGGAACAGCTTTCTATGTGTGCTTCATGACTGTTTGAATCTCTCATGTCTGTTCAGACCCTTTGGCCATTTTTAAATGGAATTATTTCTATTTTTATGTTGTTGTGTTTATAAGATTTTATGCTTGGTAACACCAGTGTTGAGTCAGAATTAGACCTGGATTTTTAAAACACGATGAGAGAGTCCTGTTGAGAAAAGGTACTTGGGCTAAGTCCTTTTGGTGGACAATGGGACCCCCCCTGATTAGTTCCTCACCTTCTCTGATAATCATTTTCATCTTAAATCTCTAAATGAAATGGAAATGGCAGTTGTCCTGCATTTTTTTTCTACAAAAGAGATGCTTGTCCTTAATGATAGATAGAATTTGGAGATGAAACAGTCTTAATGTTTCTGAGGGCTGCATGTGCCCTTTCAGATCCATTCAGGGTCCTGCTACCTTTACTGAGGACCCTTGAGATGCGTTGGATGTTCCTGGCCACCCTGTTGGTGCCTTGTTTGCATGACTTCCTGCCCCATGTCCTACCCTAGGCTCAAAATGTTCCTGTTTTTTATTGCAGATGCCAGAAAAATCCACACTGCCCCTGCCCGAGCCTTGTACCTGCTGCGCCCCTTGCCCATTCTTTTGGCAACGGGTGGTGGGTATGCAGGGTACCGACAGTATGCGAAGTACAGGGAGCGAGAGCTGGAGAGACTGGGATTGGAGATTCCGCCCAAACTTGCTGGTGACTGGGAGGTAGGAATGAGTTGGAACCCCTTTGGAGCCTCCTTTGGTATTACTATCTCTTGCATTTTAAGTTTTCCCACACTTCAAATGTTTGAAGAAGTGAAACGTGCTTTTTTTGAGCTCATGTCTGCAGTGGACTTTGGGCTGATACCTTCCGCATTGTGTCAGGCTTCCCTTCTGTCCTCAAATCCCCAGGGACTCTCTGTGGAAACTCCCCATGGCTGAAATGCTAGAGCTCCCTCCTGTTGGTGCTGGGATCTTGGCTGTTCATTCCCTTCTTAGTCTGAAACTGTTGTTCTTTTGTGATGTGGATCCCAAGGTACTCACCAGGAACCAGACTGAAATAATCAATTCCTTTATCATAACTGCTCAAAGTACACCGCTCCCTGGGCATGCTCATGCAATAGGAACAGACTGCATTGTTGTTGAACTGTGTGCGCCATAATAAGCTGTCTTGTTGCTTACCATGGCCCAGGCTAGTGCTGACTTAGAACGGACCCTCAGTATATTTAGTCTCTTGAACTAGAGACTAAAATGCATTAAGCTTAAAAGTTGGTTTCCTAAAACAACTATGAGATATCATCTCACCCCAGTCAGAACAGCAAGCAACAAATGCTGGCAAGCTTGTGGAGAAACTGGAACCCTTATTCACTGTGGTGGGAGTATAAAATGGTGCAACCATTGTGGAAGGCAGTATAGCGCTTTCTCAAAAAGTTGCAAATAAAGATATCATTTGACCCAGCAGTTCCACTACTGGGAATATACTCCAAAGAGGCCATAACTGGCATCTAAGCAGATATGTGCATACACAGGTTTAGTGTGGCTTTGTTCATAATAGCAAGGAGTTGGAAACAACTTAAGTGCCCATCAACAAACGAATGGACAGAGAAGCTGTGGTATGTTCGCACAATGGAATACTACACTGCATTGAAAAACATGGAACTCATGCAATATTATTAAAAGTGGGTGACCCTGGAGGACATTATGCTGAGTGAAGTATCTCAGTCACAAAAGGACAAATACTGCATGGTGCCACTGTCATAAAACAGGACTGACATCGGGACTGGGGGGAGACTGAGAAAGATAGGTTCAGTAATGTATACTGCATTGAAACAGATGAGGGAGAAAACTATTTAAAAAGGATATGTGATTAGGTATTTTTGTCATGACAGGAGTCCAGAGTGAAGGCTCCATGGTGGAGTGGACCTGGGGGAGGGTTTATAAAACAAAGAATTTTTCTTTTACTTTTCCAAGAGGGTAGTATACTGGGGGGAGGATTGGGAAGGGAGAAAAGTGTAGCAATGAATGAATGGAAACCCAAAGTCTCTGTAAATTTTCATTGAAATTAATAAAAATGAAAAAAAAGTTGGTTTCCTTTCATTCATAATTTACTAAGTGAAAAAATCTGAAGCATTAAAGAACCCCAAGTAATCTGAACAGAAGAGGCAGTGAGAATTGAGGCTAATTTGGAATGATGTGTTCAGATTGCCTCTCTATCTCATAGCCTTGTCCAGGTCAGCTGAGTCCAGTCTAATAGGAAACACAGGCCAGTTTGTCAAGATGCCATTGCTTTACACTTGACTTTCAGTGCTTTTTACTGTAACATGAGTGGATTGGGTGGTTGTACACTGAGATTTCTTCCAGTAGTACCATAATTTATCTGACATCTTTGATACCATGAATGTGGCTTCTGCCTAAATTCTGGTTTTGACTCCCCCCCTGCCCCCCACTGTAGAACCCACTATAAAGTATCGAATTTCGAGCACTTCTGTAAAACTGAGTCAGCTGGTCATGTTGATGTTACCGTAAAGATGCCTGTCTGCCCCATACATGTCTATGTATTTGCTCTTTGACTTCTTGCCTTCTTGCTGTACATTTAATTTTGTAAGAATCTACCCCGGATCTGGGAGAGCTGTCTGATTTTTGGTAGTATATCCCAGAATTCTTTTGGTGAGAGATAATTGCATAGAGTTGTTGTTAGATGCTGTTGAGTTGAGTACAACCCATAGTGACCCAATAAACAACATCTCTGAACTCTGTCCTATCCTGTGCTATACTTGTAGTCTCTGACACACAAAAGCCCGTTGCTATAGTCATTGTGTCATTCCACCTGGTTAAAGGTCTTCCTCTCCTTTGCCATCCCTCCACCTTCCCAAGCATGATGTCCTCTAGCAATATGCACAAAATATGTGAGACAAGACTTTATGATTTTTTTCTCCAAGGAGCACTTTGACTACACCTTCTTGAAGACATATCTCTTTGTTCTTTTGTCAGTCTGTGAGATAGTTAGCCCTCTTCTCCTGTACTACAATTCAAAGGCATCCTTTGTCATTGTCCAGCTCTCAAATGCATACATAGCAGGCGACTGAAAAGACCATGGTCTGAATCAGGCACACCTTAGTACTCAAACTGAAATTGCTCCTCAATAATATGTAGAGGTTCTCACTACAGACTAGCCCAGTGCAATACGTCTCTTGATCTCCTGACCACTGGTACCAAGTGTACTGATTGTGGATCCAACAAGGAAGATGAAGTTGTTGACCGTGTCAGTCTTTTCTCCATCTATTATGTCTTTCAGTCCAGTGGCTAGGATTTTCTTTTTCTTTTTCTTTTTTTTTTTAAATGTGTGTATCAAATCAGATCTGACCAGTATAGGAGGAGATTGCCCCTCCTTCTCCAGCGGAGCATCTGGTAGATTTGAGCCACCTGCCTCTGGGATTGCAGTGTAGCTTCTTGCCACTAGGCCAACAGGGCTCCCTAATTTTCATTTTCTTGACATTGAGATGCAATCCATATTGAAGGCTTTGATCCTCCGCCGCTAGAGCTTTAAGTCCTCCCCACTGTCAGCGAGCAAGGTTGTGTCATTGCGTAGTGTAGGGTCACATTTTCAAATTTTGCAAAATTGTGTCCCCTAAAAATTTTTATCCTTTTGGCTAGGCCCAGATTCCCTGTATTGTGTGTGTGGTTGTTATCCATTTTGTGATCTGAAGTGGTAGTTCCGCCTGTGGTTGATAAGGCAGGATTATATTATGTTAGTGAGGGTGCTTGTTATGTTAATGAGGCCAGATTAGGATACAGTGGTGATGGAGGATAGGGCAAGGTTAGAGCTGTTTTTCATAGGGTCATTATGAGTTGTAGTTGACTTGATAGCACCTGTTGACAGCAACATCCTTACTCGGATCATAGATGTGATCTCTTGTAAGGGGTGTTTGGCTTGAATCACCTTTTATGTTACAAAACAAAGGAAAGAGAGAAGCAGAGAGGAACCGACCTACTACTAAGAATGAATAGTGGGGAGGAGTGCCTGTGCTGAGAAACTCCTAGACTCAGGGGAAGATTGGTGCCATGACACATGTAAATCTCCAAGGGCTGTCAGACCCACAGATTCTGAAAGGAGACAAGGAACTTCCTCAGAGCCGATAGAGGTAGCCTTCCCCCAGAGCTGGGGTCACAAAACAGAGGAGGGCTCTTAATGAGGTGGATTGACTCAGTGAATCCTGCACAGCAGCATTCATGAGGATGGTACAGGACCGGGCAGGGTTCTGCTCAGTTGTGCATAGGGTCACTGTGCAGTGACTTGATAGCACTTAACAACAGCAGTAATAATAATAATAATAGAAGTGGTATCCTAAGTTTGGCTAGCCTACAATAAGGGTGGCTCAGGATAGATAGAGCAGGGTTCAGAGCTGTTATACATAGGGTTGCTGTAAGTTGCAAGTGTGTCAGTGGCATATAACACAGCAACAACAAAACTATGACAGAATACATTTCTGTTTATTAAAGCCAGTCTATTTGGAGTATCTGTGTTATAGCAGCACTAGAGAGTTAAGACAGCTCTGCTGTGTTTATGTCAAATAAAACTCGTTCTTCTCCCCAAACTTACCCTTCTCTATACACTTGGACGTTTGTAAGCCGGGTATCATGGGACTCTGACTGTATAGCTCTGTGAGGAGTTAGACTTTAGTGGCCACTCTGTCATTTGTCAGACTCACCCTGTGATGACTTGGATGCTTTTAGGAAATGCACCCCTCCTTCATTTCAAACATTCCAGGGGACGGACTAAATTTAGGGGGGGGGGGGAATTACTTACTACTCCAGAATGGTAGTTGAGTGAAAGACCAGTGTCCATAGTTTTTTCAGTGTCCACAAATGCATGAATAATTGAGAAGGTGATTGTGTTTGTAGAGAATGGAGTTGATTAGCTGATGATTTCTAGATCCTGACAGTGACAGGATGCTGGAGTGGAATGGCCATCACAGCCTGAGACCTATTGGCCTGCTGTAAAGAGTTACGTTTAAGGTAAAATACTCCTCTGTTGGCTGATTAAAATGGCCCCAGGCTGACGTCTAGATTGCCAAGAGGGACCTTCACACCTCATCTCAATAAGAGGAACTTGAATACGTCTAGACTCAAGAGTTGTGATTGTAAGATTTCAAAGAGAGTTATGAGAGGCTGAGCCCTGAATTCTCTTGGCTCTCGCTAACGACTCTCGTCTCAAGTGCAGATGACAAAATTGAGATGCATTGCTGGTTTCTAAATTCTAGCTGATCATCAGGAGAATTGGGGAACTTGAAAGATTTTAAATTCTTCACTCTGACCCATAGAAGTTTAGAAAATAAGGCTCAAGTTCTATTTTTAAACACCACTTGAATGATTCTGATGAGCGGGCAGGTTCAGGATTCAGCTGTTGATAAATGGGCTGTAAGGTTTTCTTTAGGGCCCTGTTGAAATGGCACATGATGAATTCTGGTGGTGATTTCTCTGTATCGTTGCTGTTGTTGTTATGTGCCATCGAGTGTCCCTTAATGCCCTGAGATCAAGTGTGGCATCCTCAGAACCAAGACAAAGACAAGCTGTAGTAACCCTGGGCTCAGTGGTATAGTTGAGGTTACAGGGTGATTCTGTTTTACTAGAAGCATTTTCACTTTTATGATTTTATTTTTGTCTTGTTTGTACAGTGATTCACAGTTTCCACGCGTGCAGTTCAGTGACTAACTACTTTCTGTGAG